CAGGGAGGGAGTGTGGGGTTGGGGAGGGAATGAGGGAGCGGGATACAGCTGGGACACAGAGTTAACAAAATGTAACTAAAAAGAAAAAAATAATAAAAAAAAAAGAAAGAAAGAAGGAGAGGAGGACCTCCCCTATCAGTGGACTTGGGGAGGGGCATGCATGCAGAAAGGGGAGGGTGGGTAGGATGGGGAGGGGAGGAGGGAGGGGCTTATGGGGGGATACAAAATGAATAAAGTGTAATTAATAAAAGTTAAATAAAAAATTAAAAAAAAAAGAAAGGGTCATATTAAAAAAAAAAAAAAGACTCAAAATACTAACTGACAAAATCCTCCTAAGGGCCTGAGCGATGGAACCCATTTTCCAATTTTAAACAAGTAAGTGTGGAAACCCGAAGAGTCCTGTAACATGCAATGTGGGAGCATGAGGCATCGGACCCGAGCAGTGGGGCCCAGAGTATGTCCTACCCCCTCACGGTGACGTCACTAGTTACAGGACACAGCCCTCCAGTGCCGGTTTCCCCGGAACCGGGAAGTGGCCGCTGAGGAAAGTGAGTGAAGGAGGCCTGGAGAGGGCACCCCCGGGCTGAGGAGCACTCACCGCCACGTTGGCTTCCTGCTCGGTTTCCGGCACGTAAGGATAGTGGTTGTAGAACGTGTCGTTGCGCACCATCTTCTTCCTCATCCTGCAGGGCCCCTCCGTCATCTCCAGCATCCACTTGTCTAGGTGCGAGCCGATGGGGGGGCCCCACAGGCCTCGCTCCCGCAGCAGCTCACCCTCGATCTGGCACCATTCCTCAGTCACGTACTTGAGAGCGTTCTGCTGACGCTGGAGGGACAAAGGCCAGGGTGGGTTTCCAGCAGATAAAATAACACGAATAACTTGAGGATGTCACGGGGAGACAACTTCAACTCTGGGCATTTCAGTGAATATTACACATCATTATTTACAGCTTAAGGAAAGAAAGCCAACGGGTTCATGAGAAGTGGGGTCTGCTGTGCCCCGCGATGTGAAGTTTAAGACAGACAGCAGACCCTGCTCATGAGGACGCACGACACACCGCGGCCACGGCGGCAATGCTCACCTCCTGGTACTCCTTGTACTGCGTGTCCACGAGGTCCCGCACAACGGCAATGTGTGTGAACATCCACTGGGAGATCTCCTGACAAACCACGAGAAAAAGAGCCTTAGAGCTTTCTCAATTCTTTCTCTCAATTTCTCCAAATGTGCTACTACGGAAGACAAAAGCAGAGATGCTAAAGGATGAGCTGCCTAAGACTGGGCCTCTAGGGCGGCCAGGGATCTGCAGAGCCCTGCCCCAGCATCATTCCTAGCTCTGGCCTGTGGCGTGCTGGCCTCAGGAAAGGCCTCGGCTGCAGAGGGGGCAGCAGGGCCACAGAGCCAGTGTGTGGCCGGACTGGGGCCTCGTAGGCCCTGTGTAGGCCACTATGCTCTTCAGCCCAGCAGGGTGAAGTACACTACAGGATGACACTTCCCTGCACTTTTCCACAGACATGGACTCTCAGGGCACTCCCTAAGCCTCTTCCCGCACGCTGGACCCCACCTCAGAGGTCCCTCCTTAGAAGCGCCGTGGGGGCCAACACATTCCGGGCACACAGGGCTCTTTCACACCCCTTTCACACAGCCCCTGGCTGAAGGGTCCTGAAGTGTGAGGACGAAAGGCTAACAAAGGAGGTGGGTAGGATTTAAGACAATTGATCACAGGTATTTACAATTACTCTGTTATCGCCTTGCAATTTCTGTAATCATCAATAAGAGTATTGTCAAAGCCAGGGAAACCGCAAAAACATTAATGGTCTATCGGTCCAGTTATGAAATGGATGTGCGTGCCTGGGACCACGGGCATTTTACAAAATGAAGGACCTCTGGGGCTCATCCCCCTCCCATGCCAGGACTTTCTTCTTGTGTGTGTTAGCAGCATTGCATGAAGCCACGGACCTGGGAGCTGCAAGTCCTAAAGGCAGGAGCCGCGAAGCTCAGCCGTGTACCTGGGTGGAAGGACTGTGCTTGTGAAGGCCGCTTTCCTTTCGATTCCTTCTTGATCCCGTTAGCTTGGAAAGGCCGAAGCCGCTGCTGACCCGGGACAGCTTGGACTGTGTGGTAGGCACCAAGGCTTCTCCTCGGCTTATGCATTTCTTTTCGTGGGCTGTAAGTTTAACATGAGGCAACTGTGACTATTAACGAGCCTTTGCCTAGCTTCCCACTACGGTTACAGATCATGACCCTCGCCTACTGCCCATGATTCCCTTCCTGTGGCTGCAGCTCTCAGGGGTCAGCGACAGTCTGCAAATATGGCTGCAGTGCCACAAGTTACCCGCCTGTCGCTGCTGTTTTACCAGTTGCTGTTTTCCTTCTGTCATTGTGCCCATGGAAGTGAACCTCTGCGGGCTTGTAGGTATAGAAAACACATCGCAGTGTAGAGCCCAGGGCTCCCTGCGCCTTCCCTGTGCCTGGAGCAGCTCTGGGGCTCAATCGCCCACAGGAGGATTACCAGAAGTCACTCACTCCAGAGACACATTTCCTTCAGGCACGGCAGACTTACTGCTGCTCCTGTTTAAGGGTTCGTGCTTGAGAATTAGTGTGCCAGCCGGACTTTTGCTTGGTTGCGATGTCCCTTTCCTCTCCTAATATGAAAATTTATTGAAGTTGGAATATGTCTCTATGCTAACCATTCACAGTCTGTCATCTCAAAACATTTGTTGAGAATGTGTTGGATCACACAATGTCTTAGATTTGAAGAAAGCTCTGAACACACAGACGTGTGCATGGAAGCACCGAGGCTCCATGGAAGTATATCATCATCCGGCACTGTAATATCACCACAGCAAAGCGAACGCATGACTATACCTAACATGATAAAAGCAGCTACCAGGGTGGTTTTAATAACAAAACTGGGTTTTAAGGCTTCTAAAATCTCAGCGCTGAAGGATAAACGCGGAGACAGCGGCCTCGGCAGCAATGTGTCATTCTCTAAAGTCACAGGCGGCCAGTGCAGAGCCTTATGTCCAAGGTGGAGCAGTCTACAGAGCAGCCAGGGGCAGAAGCCGAGGTATGTCTGGGGTTTTCTTACCCAAATGATTCTGCCAGCATTTCAGCCCGGCCTCTTCGATGAGCGGCCGTGCCATGGCTATGTCCACGTGGCCCCTGTCGTTCACTGGCAGGCTGACTTTGAACAGCTCCTCCAGGACTTGCTTCTTACTGTGGATCAGCTCCGTCCACACTCTGTTGACAGCTTTAATGAGAAGCTGCCGCCCTTGAGAATGAAAGACAGAAGGGAATCCAGAGGGACCGCAAAGGCAGCGCTGTCTCATGCTGTCCGTCTAGGAACTTGAACTATTATATTTAATTGTAAAACAAAATTTTACAATTAGATTATATTCAGTGCAATGAAAAGAGGGACTTAATTTAGATAAGTCAAAGTCAAGTTTTGCTTATGTGGAAAATAGTAAAGAAAAAAAACCCCATACACTCATGAGTAAATGCTATATTCTTCATTTAGAAATTAGAAAATTGTAAGTGTTTATCTACTTCCGGATAGGAATTGCTATCTCAGACTATCATTTATTCCCAACTGAATCCAGGATCCCAGAGGAGCTATGCAAATGCTCTGTCAATGGGCTCTATTCTCAGGCCCTGAAAAGCATTTTTCACTTTCTTGTCACAGGCACCCACCCACTCTTCTCTCGCCTCACTTTAAGATCTCTCTCTGTTCTCTCATGGTGACCCGGCTATCTCTCCGCTGGTCTATCTCTCTTAGACACATTTAAAGCTAGAGTCCACATTTGATAATAAACAGGTAGTGTCTCTCTGGGTCTGGCTTATTTCACTTAACAGTGATTTTTAGTACCAACTTTTTTGTTTGTTTGTTTGTTTGTTTGTGCAAATGGCAGGATTTCATTGTGTCTATGTGTACATTTTCTTTTCTAGGCTGGTTCTATTTCCTGGCTACCGTGAGTAGCTGAATGGCACAGACATAAACATGGATATGAACACATCTCTATGTTAGGCTGACCTAGTCCTTTGAGTATACAGCCTTTTTTGAGATAGGGCTTCACTCTGCTGCCCTGAATGCTGGCCTTGAACTTGTAGACACCCGCCTGCTTCTGCCTCCTGTGTGCTGGTATTAAAGGTGTGTACCACCACAGCTGGCTTCTTTTCTTAGTCTTTTGAGGAACCTCCACACTCATTCCCATGTGGCTGCTTTAATTTATACCCCGACCAACAGCGGCTTGCCCATCCATCCTTAGCAAGCCTCAGAGTCCCCAGAAGGCCTGTGATAGACTGCCAGCCACCGGCCCTGGAGACTGACTGAACAAAGCAGGCGGCTCCACAATCCCCAGTGTCCCGAGGAGCTGAGACTGACAAAGCTAGGCTCACCTCAGGAACAAAGCTTCAAAGTTCACTCCACTGCTGGAGCGGAGTGAACCTCAGTTTGGGGACCAAGACATCTCGAGAAACGAATCAAAGGGAGAATGAGTCCTGGACTGTTCCAGGAAGGACTACCCCATAGTATTGCTGGGAGATACACACTACGTACAGATCTCAGCTTGGACCTGGGAACACATGAAGTAAGAAACCAATCTACAGGAAGGCTTCCATACATCTTGTTTACCGAACAGGGGAAGATGAGATTCTAAGAAAGAGAGTAAGATTCGGGAGCCTGCGGTAGGAGCACCGCTGCCATCTCAAGGCTAGGTTGGGATATAGAATGAGTTCAAGGTCAGCCTAGGTATGTAGTGAAACCCTGTCTCAAAAGGTGAGCAAAAGGATCAGATGGTACCACTGACGACCTCTCAGTAGACACCGGTCTCTAACGGGTGTGCTGGCACAAGCATCTGGCAGTCCTTCCCGACAGTGGCACGTAGTATCTGCAGCCCAGTGCCACCACGGTTCATAAGAAGGCTCGAGGTTAGCACCATGGGGCTTAGCGTTTTGCCCATCTTGGCACTGGAAGACAGTTTGTGTGCAGGCTGGTACGTGTACAGGTTGGTTGTGTGTGTAGTTTTTGAAGCCAATGTTGTTCTAAGAACCGGAAATGCACAAGAGCACACGCACAGCCAGGGAGGGAAGCTTACCTTCGCTGATGTCCTGGCTGTAGCCGCCGTCTGGCTCAATGTCTGAGGGAATCATGATGTGCCACGTGGTCATGCGCGCTTCTGCTTCCAGCCCGAAGCCTTCCACGTTGCTGAAACAGTCAAAGTAGATCCCACTGTCTGAGGGATGCTAGAGCTGGAAGCTATAATTACGGTGAATCACTCTGCAGACACATGTAAGCACTGGCCCTGTCATGGCATTCCATCACTGGCAGACAGACACTTAGCAGATGCAAAAATAGGACTCCCGATTTACCACAGAGATGCCATTTTTAAGGGGTGATCTCACAGGTGTGCTTAGCCGCATATAAAGCAGTTTCTAGGGATCAGGACTGTTGTGTTAACACTAAAGGCGCTGTTAGATCAGTGCCAACATATTATCTTAAGGTCACAGAAAGGTCACTTCCCTAAGAACACTGCTCGTATTCCTGTGTCCCCTCCAATCTTCGGCTCTCCCCTTCTTTCTTTCAGAAGCACTGAGGCATCTATGGCTGCCCTAAAGAGCAGCCCTGAAGATAACTACGTGTGCCTCATCTATTCCCGCCACAACAGTGGAAGGCCAACACAAAAGGAACCCAATGGGATTTCTGTAGGCGCTTTGTCTCACTTGCTGTGGAAATCATTTGTTTCTTTATTTGAATCTTGCTGGTCTTTTGCTGGTACATGATGATTTCTGGTTTTGTGAATTTTTTTATGGGCTTTGTTTGTGCACATGTGTGCCTATGTTTGTATTTCACTCTGCTTTCTTTTAATTCTGGTTTGGTTTTATGTTGGCCTGTTTGTTTTCTAAAGAGAGAATAAGAGAAAGGGTAGGTAGTTGAATCAGTGGGGAGAATCTGGGAGGAGTTCAAAGAGGAAACCATCATCAGAATTATTGTATAAAAACAGTTTTTTTCAATGAAAAAGCAAATTTCTTTTTATAATTTGACGAATGACATATGATGATTCTGAACAAATTTAAAGATGTAAAAGTAAGAGAAAAGAAAATCCTCATTATTTCTGCTAAAATGCAACACTTGCCCTGTATCCTTTTCATAAAGCAGTAAACCAAACTAATGAAAAGCCAAAAGGGTTACCCTTGCCACAAAAGACAGCAGTGTACATGGGATGCTATCAAAGACAAAAGGACCAGTGGACCTGAGCGACTTACCTTCCAACATGTAGATTAATCAGGCAGTGAGCAAGACAGCTAATGAATTCTTGGTCATGGTTCCCAGGTCCCAAGATTAAGTTCCGGTTTACAGTAAGAACCCTGAGAGAGTCAAGGAGAGCTACTTGCTGAGGGACAGTTTTGTGTGCCCGTGAGAACTGGTACAGGATGGTCCTATTGAGGCAGTGATAAACGGCATCCAGCGACAATCCCTGCGATCTTCTCTTTGACTGGAAAAAAAAAGAAAGATACGTTTTTAGGAAGAGGACAAAAACACAAACCCTGCTGTCATTCACAAGCACACTCGGATCAGCCATTAGGCAACAGGTGTCATGCTAAGTCCTCGGAATGCTGAGCTGAAAAACACCGGGCTCTTGCTTTTATGGATTCAGAACCCAGGAGACACAAATGCAACCTAAAAATGAAGCGTCCTTTGCAAACAGCCCCCCGTGAAGAGAGTCCACGCTGTGTTGCTGTGGTCCCCTGGGAAGAAGCCACACCACCCTCCTTAAGATGAGCTATCACTGTGCCAACTGCAGAGCTGACCCGAACATTAGCAAGACTGTCCTGGCGCTCGACTCCATCCCTCACCTAAGAGCTGTTCTGTTCGGCTTAACGAAAAATGCACGGCTTCAGAGGGGATGGAACACCCTGTCAGATACCAACACAGCACAGCACAGAGCAAGTGGTGCAGTCTGACGTAGAGATGAGAATTCTTTACTCCTCATTTACTTTTTATATCTTCAAATTTGTTCGGAATCACCATACCTCATTCATGTAATTTTAAAAGGAAATTTCCTTTTTTAACTAAATATTTTTCTTCATCCTACAGATTCTGATCTCAGTTTTCTTCCCAACTACTCCCATATTCTCCCCACCCACTAAAATACACGTCCTTCCCCTCCTTCCTTCCTACCTTCCCTCCTTTCTTCCTACCTGCTCTTTTCTTCCTTCCTTCCTTCCTTCCTTCCTTCCTTCCTTCCTTCCTTCCTTCCTTCCTTCCTTCTTTCCTCCCTCCCTTCCTCTTTTGGAAACAAATGGGCAAACAAATAAACAACAAAAACATACCAGAACAAAACAAAACAAAACACAAGAAACACACAGTGCACATACACATGTGCATGCACGCACACATGAACACACGAACAGACAAAACCCATGAAAACAAAAAAAAAATGGACGCCATAACGAACAGGAAAGTGTTTCCCACTTTTCTACATTATAAAGTCGGATCAGTCGCGTGTGCCACATGCTCCTTGGTCAAACATGCTTGGGGAACATGGATCCTCAAAGGATGGGCGACAGTAAATTATGCTGCTCAGCTGAGGGCACTTCCTCAGTGTGGATGCTTGTGCCCCGCAGTCTTCGTACAGTGACACAGTATGAAAGCTTCTCTGGAGGTAGTAACTGAGGTGTTTAAGTGTGCCTGGGGGGGAAGGGTCAGCAGGAGAACGCCGGGCACCTTTGTAAGGAGGGCACCAGCACTGGCACCAGCACTGGCACCCGTAAGGAGGAGTCAAAGTTTGCATTTTTAATTCACTTTTTTACAAAGTTTGGGTACATCAAATGTTAATAGTCATTATCTTCCAATAACTTGACACCACAAGGAAAGGTTTATCAGGAGAAAACATGAATGCCGCAGTTAATAGTGATGATTGATTACCTGTGCAATGAGTTGAATTATAAAATCTATAAGAAGTTTAGATTCTTTGTTGAACATGCCTTGCCAAAGCTTGTCCACCACACGTTGTGTGAAGTAAAACACGTTGTTCACCAACACCTGATAGCTTCCTCCACTGGTAATAGGCAGAGATGCATCTTCCCCTAAACCCCAGCAGGAGGAAACAGAAGAAAGTTGAAATCCACTGTCACAAGACCTCAACCACACAGGCTAAGGTGAGGTGAGTGTGCCCACAGACCTTACGAAACACAACCACACGCTCTTAGGGACTATTTTAAGAAAATGATGTGCACGGCCAGAAATCAGGATAAACACTAGAGAGAATGTTTTTACCAGGCTGAAAGCTTTGTGGGCTCAAAGTCCCCGCAAAGACTCTGACTCGGAAAGTCAGCCTGTGGGAAGCAAACAGTTCTTCAGCGACAACCGTCAGCAACAGCCCATCTCCACCCGATATAGAGTCCAATTAAAGATGGATTGTGTGGACAATGCGTGGGAAACAGGCCCCTAAACGAAATTCTGTGCCTCTCACCCCACGGCAACAGAGCCATGGGCTTAAGGTTAGGAAAGCGGGTGACACGGAGGAGATTCAGCCACGCGACACGGAGAGCCGTGACCAGCAGGGCAGCCTCTCCTAACCAGGTGACTCCAGCGGCCCCAGGGGCCTCAGTGAACACACTGGCTCGACCATCCCTCCTCATCCCACCGCACTGCCTGCAGCCCCCACAGCTCAGCTCACTACTGAGGAGCTCAGTGGATATACACATTCTTATACGTACAAAAATGTGACCTGATGTCCAGTTTTGAAAATTCAGTTACGTAGTAGGGCAATACCGGAGATTACTTCTGGCCAGTTACTTTGCAAAGAATATTATTTTACCAGCACAGACGTTCTATAAGTCATATGATCACTCAAGAGTGGTATAGAAAAGTAAATTGCTAAAACTTTTTGCTTTTTGCGGAGGGTCTCACTGGGTAGCCCAGGCTGTCCTGAAACCTGCAATCCTGGTGTGGCTTCCGGAGTCATGCCTGAATGACAGAGAGGCAACACCATTCCTGGCTTTGAAGCAATGTCTTTTCTTCACTTAGCGATTTCATGTTGATTGACACAAGCGATGTCTCTACTGTACATGTCTCCAGTGTTACATTCGTACTGCAACCCAATACAAATGCTCTAAGGGACTACAGTCCAGCACTTTTGACTTGCTGAAACACATTCCAAGGAATAGCATGCACATGGCTAAAATTCCACTACCCAAGACACACACATACTATACATGCTTGTGGTTCCTGAGTAAGAATGCTTACAGCACTCTTATTTGGAGTTGTCTCTAGCTGGAAACTTCCATACATCTATCAACAAATAATATGAATAAACTTATGTCCAGGTGACAAAACACTATATGGTGACAACAACAAACTGCTGTGTGCAAAACCATGACTGTATCATCTCAAACATTAAAAGAAAACATTAACTATAAGAGGCCAGACTAAAACGAAAGAAGGCAGGAGAACTTGGAGCTTAGAGAGAGGAAAGTGGGAAATATTAGCACTTCAAAAAAAATTAAACACTGAATTACCCAACAACACATCAGCTGCAAGCAAATGGTCCATCACGCTGTCCAAAATGTGCGTCTGGAATTCCTTCTGCTGAGTTCTTGTAGATCTTTCAGGGGAAGCCTGTACGTGAAAACACACACACAGCAGAATCAGAAAGAGACTACACAAAGCTGGGTCCCGGCGCAGTTACATGGGCAGGAAGGTGGAAACAGCCTATCCCAGCACACTGAAGGCAAACGGCACAAGGGAGACTGTGTGCACGTAGCCGTGCTCCTGTTTTCCAAACCACAGAATTAAAGCAGCATACAGAAAAACCTACAGCTCTGAAACTATTCCGTATCCCGACTCTAAACAGAATATGCGGGAAATACTTGCTATTTTACCACTGTACCTCATTTCAGCAGTTTACAAGGAAAAGCACATAAAATAAGCCATAAAGACGTTAAAGTAAATGTAAAAACTCAAGAAATATAGCAGCCAAGAGTCTCCAATGGGGACGATGTATTCAAACAAGAAATTAATTAGGCCAACAATTCAGTGCTAAGCTTCCTGTACATTAGGAGGGAGGAAACTATGGCTTGTGCCTTTTCCTATCTGTGAATGGAAGCACCATGGTTTGCTGGAGCGAATGCCTAGTGGCTGACATTTCCGATGGACTTTTGTGGAGTACTTATCTTGGGCGAAAGCTTAGGACACAGCTGATCCACACTCTGACAGCTGTTTCTGTTGGTCGCAAGTGGCACAAGTGGCCAGGTACCTAACTTTACATAGCCTGGCAAATGGCAAGGTACCAAGGATCCTTCTGTTATCCTTTTGAGATGCCAGGCCTTCGACACAGACCCAACTGTCACAACACACTTTTGTGTATGCAGGTACGAGTACTGTTTGTTGGTGCTCTGCAGGCATAGAGGAAAACACAGCCCCAAGACTTTTTTCTGAACATCTTATCTGTTCCTCGTGGCTTGCTCAGCTCGTTTTCCTATAGAACCCAGGACCACCTGTCCGGGGGTGGCACAGCCCACCATGAGCTAGCTTGGCACATTAAGACAAAGACCCACAGACTTTCTCACATGTCAGCCTGTAGGAGCACTTCCTTGAGAGTATCTCTTCCAAAACGACTCTAGGTTTGTGTCAGGTTGATAATAACCAACAGTCATATCTTGTCTCGAAAATGGGGACGTTATCTATTTCAAAGTGGAATTTGCTAGTTAAATCACATAACTTTATACACCAAAGCCCTGCAGCCAGCACAATAACATGCTAATGGATTATTTTAAGGACATAGTGATGCCTACATTCACGAAATCTTAAGTTCTTTCAAAGTTAGGCTGCTGTGACTCCCAGGAAGACCATCTGAACTAGGCAACGAGGACCAGTAACACTCAAAAATTTCACCATCCCCCTGAAGAGTGAGAGCACTGAGCTCCTGTGACGGGGTCTCCCAGAGGCCCTTCCAGAGCTACAAACAGGCTCTGCAAATAGAAGTAAGTACTGACGAGTGCTAAGACGCTTCCACGTGTCATTTCCTGTTCTGCCGACTCCAGAACTTTGGGTAGGCCTGTGCACGGGTGTCCCTCTCCCTAGCTGCCTCAGGCTGCTGTGACACTGAGGACCGTGGTCTTCAGCGTTGTCACATACGTGGAATTGGGCAGTCTTACTCCTGCGTCAACTTCAACAGCTCAAGCTTTTCGGTAATATGGTCACTTGCCTAATTCCAAGGAAAAGTTAACGAAACTAGCAGCTTGCTCTAGGTGTGGGACTCTCAGTATAATGCCTCAAGGACCAGACAGGCCATGGTCACATGTCCCTGTTTGCTGTCATTCTGAGACCTTCTGTTCAACTCAGACTATGACCGTGTGACGCCCTTCCCTTTTCTCAGAACAGTGCTCGTGGCCTTAACTAGATCCTCCCGCCAACACCTGGCATTTTAAAATAAAGACATCACGCAGAACAAAGAAGCAAGTGTTCATGGCCACCTTCAGGTGAATTTTGTTTCCCATGTCCTGCTCTCATGTGCTTCCTCCCCAGTGCCACACCTAATCTGCAGCAAGTTCATGTACTCCGTCACGAGCAGCTGGGTGGCGAAAGCAGGGCACTCGAGAAGAATCCCTAGACCTGTAAGCCAGGCCACCTGGCTTCCTCTGCATGCCCCAAGCGCCAGGCACTGTGCGGTATTAGCTGTACTTTGTTCAACTTTCCTCAGGCTTGTCAGAGGCAGGCTTGTCTGTTAGGTCATTCTATAGATGGGTAAACAGTGACGGGGAGGGTGCTGAACCTGACCAGGTCAGAGCTGGAACCTACACACAGGACTCTTCAGAATCACTGTGTGACGTGTACACGTTTAACCCTCACATGACACCATGCTCCAAAGAGTGAACCCTGGCTTCAGGGGAGCAAGCCTCTGTAATAAGCAGCAGATTGAACCCAAGTATTTCTTACTGAAAAATCCCACATTTTTTGAGTGCAGGCCTCAGCGTCGCATTCAAACCTTCTATATGAAGAGGGGCCTCCCTGACACACTCAAACCTTCTATAGCAGGAGTCCTCACTGCCACACTCAAACATTCTACATGAACATGGGCCTCAGCGTTAACTCGTCGATGTGAATGAGAATCTCTTAGTTTTCAAGACTGCTAAAGAAAATAGACCCATGTGCTCTTTTGGCAGACATAACCAAGCTCTCCTCTCACAAAACGAGCATGACTAAAGAGAGTGTGGCTCACATGGCCAGATTATAGAGCAGTCGGCTTCAGGACCCCCTTAACATTGGGAAGCAGCAGATCCACAGCTCTGCTCCTGAGTCCCTCCAGGGCCAGACTTCATCACCAGGAGAGTCCAGTTCCTAAGGAAGGCTCGGAAAACACTGACATCTTAGCTAACCTGGCTTTCATACGTGTGTGAAGTTCTTTAACATAGCAAGTTCCTCTGTACAGCTTCAGTTTTGCTTTTTATTTACATGTATGCGTGCATAAGCTATGCATGTGGTGCCTGAGCTCTCTCTCCACCTTTCTGGTTACGATGGTATTGTATCTCCCTACTTGGCAGGGATGTGGTTAAGAGCTAAGTGAGAAAGGAGTACTAAAAGCTCTGCCACCTGGTACGGGAGACAGAATTCACATGAAGTTCCACCTGGAACACGGGAGACTTTAACACCTATGAGGGCTTCCCTACCAGTGGGGACTGAACACAATTCTAACATTTAGCTCTCTAGTCCAGAAAAGGGCACAACTCCACACACCCATGCTGGGACCCCAACTAAGGCTGACACAGTAGGTGAAGCCCTTCCCACTAACACAGGTGAACAAACCAGAGTCCATAGGCTACTCACGACTAATTAATCAGTTGCTGGTGCTCTTAGAAGCTTAAGACGTGCTTTCCCTGGCTAGGCACACTCATCCATCCCTTTAGCTCTATGCTAAACCTCCAGCCCCTTATCCCTTCTTGCACATGCCTACTGAATCACTGCTTGTGATTTCAGTTTTCATGGGCTGCTTCCGACTTTTGCCCTAGATACTGAGCATTTCTCTTCTTGAGCTGCTTTGTTTGTCTGCCACTCAGCTCTATCACCAGGCTCCATTCCAGAGCCCTTTTACTGTGGTCCATCGCCAGGCTCCATCACGGAGCTCTGTCACCAGACTCCATCATGGAGTCCTGTCACTGAGATCGATTACCAAGTTTCATCATGGTGCTCTGTCACTGATCTCTACCGCCAAGCTCCATCACCAGGCTCTGGTTCTAACTCAAGGTTCTCAGAGGGACAAGTTCTATCAGGCAAGCTTTTAATCACGTGGCTTACTGCTGACATATTATTCTCTCTGCCAATTTTAAACACTTGTGGTCCTGGTTAAAATGCTCCTAAATTCCATAAATGACTTTTAATTGCCCAAGCTGAGATGTTTTCACAGGAGTGACATAAATACCTTCCATGGTTCTGAGGTTGTAATTAAAAAGTTAACTGCATTAGCCACTAGGGGGAGCAGAGAAGGCTGTTTTGTCAAGCTGAGAGCCTGTCCCAGGACTCTCAGGAGAGAGCTGTCCACACCCACCTTAACCTTGCACAGCAGGACCCTTTGGCACCATTTACATGCACTGCCCAGAAGAGCCAGCGAGGGGCAGGTCATTTAGATTCTCTTGATCTATTTTCTTTAGTGATGTCAAGTAGGGGAAGATTTTGTTGTTTTGGTCATTTGACACTCTTGCTTATAATCAAACCCACAGGCTCCTACAGTCTACCACAGAGCGACCCGCCCAGCTGGAGACGAACATCTGAAAGTTTTCAGGGGCGGCTTAAGCTGACATCTAGCTCTGAAACCAATCACGCTGCAGAGTCTCTGGTTTTCTCCCGTGCCACCGATTCCTCTCACTCACAAGGAGGGACAGAAGCCTGCGGCCTTTGGGAAAGGTCACGCAGTGTGTGTTGTAGGCTGCCCAGGACAGTGGGAACAGGAATGGGTGACGATGGCGACTGTGACTGACTGAAGTTAGCACATGAGGAAAATGGCCAGTGTCTGGACTGTCCAGAGGAGCTGGCTGAACGAGCTGACCCCAGCCTGCGTCTGTTTTATCGGAAATAAGCTTCTGTGGGAACACAGCCCTCATCATCCCATCCTGTCTTTTCTCTAGATCCATCACAGGATAATGGCACAGGGGAAAAACCGTGACACAAACTGAAATAAGTATTTGACACTTACTGGAAAAGCTTGCCACAGAAAGAGGGTGATAAAGGACTAAAGCAGAAACATGCTCAAGAGAATGAAAAGAAGTGGAACAGGAGAGAGGGTCCAGCGGTCATGTAACATTGAAAACGGTCTACCCTCCCACGCTCTGCCTATACATTATCCAGAAGGATTAGAAGTCTAAAGGTCTTCTGCATAGAACGTGTTATTAATGCTCTTATTATACCATCAGTGCAGGCAAAGGATGCGCACACTTGCTTGTCTTTACCTCCAACAGCAGATCAATTAGTGGAGTCTGCTTGCTGGCAGGGGTCAGAGAGAGGTTGTCAATGATCAAGACTCGCATGAAGTCAAAGACAAACTTTTTAGCCGGGTGATTGGTCAGGTAGGTCTTGGTGCCCACGTTGCAGTACTCCGACTGGCTCCTGTTCATCCCTGTGTCTGCGGCAAATGCTTTAAACTCTTCTGCTGGAGACCCGACCTCATCATCCAGATCTGTCACCTGAGAGAGAGTGGGTGGACTCGCTTCAGAGTCTGTGACATTATGGTGCGGGCATGTGAGTGAGTACGTGCGTGCGTGTATGTGCGTGTGTGTGGCGTGCATGTGGGGGGGGGGGCGCTAAAACAATGAAACAGATAACAGTGGCAGCAGCGTGGCAGAGGCAGCAGCACTGGCAAAGGAAGCAGGGCTGTTTCCCTGGAGACTTCCTTCCCATGAAGCTGGTCAGCTCACGTGCACGCTTGCTGCCTTCCAGGTAGTAACCTGGCACTGGGCCTCACTCCTCAGCACTCTGGCTGACCACTGGCAGCACATCTGCTTTACGGGGGAGTATAAACAGTTCAGATAAAGGAAGTGGGAACATGAGGATGAGAGCACCCGCAGGTCTGAAGGCTGTGTACTGAACAGCCAGATGTCACACGTCAGAAAAGAACCTGTTATCATGGTGAGCCCCAAAGGTTCATCTCTCTCTCTTTCCAGGTGAGGAAAATCCAAAAAAACAAAGCAAAACACACCCAACAGGTTTAAATCAAGTGAGAGAGAAAGAGCAGTAAATAAGTCCCAAATGTTGATCAGGATAAGGAAATGTTACAAGTCCAAATATAAAAGTACATACATGCACATCTGCTTTCTGAAATAAAAAAAGAAAGCAGTTTGGTTTGGTCAGGGTCCTGTTACCTATGAAGACCATTTTCTAAGCACACAGCCACCATCGTGTGGAAAAGGCAAGCAGCAGTGGCCACCTGACAGGGACTTCTGGGAGCACAGAGGAGGAAAGCAGGGAGCAGAGTGCATGGTTCTCTTGGGGGAAAGCAGAAGGAATGTGTGGGAGCTCTGACAGCATGCAGTGACGAAGACCTGGTACAGAAAGTGACAAACCAAAGTCGGTCAGGATCACAGAGGCCTGCTCTCCACCAGAGCCGTCTGGTGGCAGCCTGACCCAAGGTCCCTCCTTCCTCTTACCATCTCTGAGTACGGGCGGATGTTGAAGGGGAAGACGGTGGCTGCTAAGGCACACAGGAAGTCAGGGCTCATCCACATGGAGGCCAGATCTGGAACGTTATGATACAAGTATCTGAAGAACTGCATCAGAGTCACTGGATACTCTCGGAGCCATGAGCCCTCTTCTTCTGACTGCCATGGCTAACACAGAGCAAGAGGAGAACAACTGTCAGAGGGAGTCATACTTCTGAGAGTCTTGCTTGGTGGCAAACACCTGTAATCTCAGCACTTGGGAAGGGGAGGAAGGAAGACCAGGAGTTAAGGTCATTCTCGACTACCTACAAAATTTAAGGTTAGCTTGGACTCCATCAAAGAGACCTTGTCTCAAATTAGAGGAGGGGGAGGAGGAGAAGGAAGGGGAGAGAGAAGGAGACGGAGGGAGAGAGAAAGAGAAGAAAACCTTTTTTCTTTTTTTATTTTTTCTAACACTGAAGATATCAATAATCTAAAACTTGACTAATCATACATGAGCAGGGTGTATGTACAAAAATGTAAAGAAATCTAACGGCCAGAAAAACAACCACACCCTTAGAAACCTTTGCCAGGGTCCCCACAGCTCAGCTAAGACAGCTGTTACCATCAGCATGCGCATGTCCTGTATCCCAGTGGCTTTTTGCCTTCGCTGATCTTGCGTATACAGGCAGAAAACTGGGAGTAAGACAGAAGATGTGCTGTCGTTTTCTCTCTACGAGCCTTATGAGATGGCACGGCCTAACACCAGCACCAACACAAAACACCACAGGTGAGCGGTAAAGAAAATATGCACATATAAGCATTTCAAAAATATATTTTCCTGATACTTTCCCTGACAGTGGCTTCCTCCTTAATATAGACCAGCACAGAGATGAGACCCACAAGGCAGCCTAAGGTGATGTATTTAATGGCAATGTTTTGTTCTTAGATGAGGGAACAAGTCTGAAGTAAAATTACAACAGTCAGACACATATAACTTCATGTTTTCTCTTAACCCACGGTTCTAAGCTACATATGTCATCCTTCACGGCATGCCCGCAAGACAGACGGACAGGTTCTGTCATCACACTTCTAATTCTTCACTCTGAGTTCAAAACCGTAAGAGAAAAAGTGAAAAGGGAAATAATGTTTGTTCAGTTAATGTTTTAACATCTGCGTGAGAGTAACTGTAGAATCTCAGTACGTAATGATATCACATATACGAGATACCATGCCTATACATATATGTATATCTACTAGAATATATCTTCTGTTGGTAATGCTGGTCAGTACTTAGGATGCTCTTCTAAGTATTTCGTGTATATATTAGTTCATTAAATCCTCACAACGCTGAGGCAAATACTGTTATCACCGGATGCTTAAACTTGGGAAACAGAAGCACAAAGCAGCTAGCATGTCTGGAATAGCAGGAGTGGACCCTGGCTTCCAGGCTGTGGTTTTTGGTCTCTCAAGTGCTGAGGATCAAACCCCACACTTCACACACAGTACACGGAGCCACACCCCTAGCCTCTAGACTGTGATCTTACTGTCTGTTCTTATACCAGCCATTAGCAATAAGAAAACAGGGTGGGGTCTAGAGCCACAGGGAAACAGACAGCTACAGTAAACGACACGAATGCGCAGAGCGTGGCTGGCCAGCTCTCTGGCCTCGGGAACTCACTGAATTCAGCATGGTGCGCAGCATTGCCAGCAGTAGGAAGGCGGATTCTGTGCACACATTGTGGATGGAGGAGACCACCGTTCCACTGGAGGCAGGGACGCCGAAGATGAAGGTCCAGATGGAATCCAAATCAAACTGCAGATCAAAAGGGGAAAGGCCAGTCAATATTTAGACAATTTTCTAGAGGAGATCCTTAGAAATTCTAACATTCTAAAATTTCTTCCAGACTACTTTTCTTTCTTCTTTGTGTAACTGAGCAATGACAGACAGATCACCCGTAACCTTCTATATGTCAAAACTCAGTGGTTATGGCATGCACCATCACCCTGTTCCATCTCAGTCTTCCTTTATCTGGACAATATATGGCCCCAAGGCCCACATTCATTGACAAAAGACGAAATTAGAAATGCAACAGTCTTAAGTTTAAGTGAGCACAATGAGCTCACGCTCCAAACCCAACAATGACTCAAACTTACATTACTTACAGGCAAGAACTCACAAAAAAAAAAAATGAGATTTACTGAGGGCAGTTTTACAGAACACAGGACTATGGCGTCTGATTCAAAGTTCCTGGGAAACCAAATTCTGCTAAGCACAAATCTTTACCTTGGTTTAATGTAAGGGTACCACTTGGGATTTCATGGAAAAGGTTTGGTCAAGTATTGATAATGATTTGAATTTCATTTGACGTTAGGATGGAAGCAAAGTTGAATGTAAAGGCTAAAGATGAAGCCACGGATATAAACTATCTATGGACAATTTTAATAATCTTCAATGACAGCTCAAACAAACCATTGCTGGTTTCCTGAAGATGTAGATGTTACATATACGTAATTAAAAATGTTTCAAATCAAAACTTGTACCTAGTCATTTCAGCGTGTGTATGTGTGTACACATGTACTGTGCAGATGAGTGTGGAGGCCACGGTTGACACCTGGTCTCCTTCATCACTCTATCCTTCATTTTTATGTTTTGAGACAAAGTCTCTTCTCTGACCCTGGAGAGGGTTACTGAGCTCCATGGGCCTGGGGTCACAAGGACGTGCAGTCATGGCTGCTTCTTACTCGGGTTCTGGGGATCTGAACCCAGCTCCCCAAAGCTCACATATCACACAGCTCAGATTCAGCAATCTCCTCAGACCCTCCCTTCAGGTTAAATTATCTGGAATGAGATCATGTCTCTAGATAAAGTTGGATTACTCGAAACAGTCCTTCAGAGCATCGTTAATGTCACCTAAAAGTCCTTGTGCATAGGTTAAATCCTACAGAGCAACCATACAGAAAAGAAGGCAAAACAGTGACAAAGGCTGTCTTTTTAGGAAAACTGCCAGCAAATTTTTAGGGTTTGTAAATTCCTGAACGAACATCAGCAGTAACAGAACGTATAGGTTTTACAGCGACACCTGGTACTAGGTAGTTCCTACCTGGCAACCCTGCTTACACCGGCTGCTGGCCACAGGCACACTGACCTGCAGGTTCTCGGGCAGCTCGCTCACTGGCTGTTGCAGAAACAAGGCCATGAGGAGGAAATAGAGGGCAGGGACATTCGTGTGCTTAGGGAGGAAAGACTGGAGAACCAGGAAGCCGGGAAAGTGGCAGGCGTCCCGGTTAATCTCCCTGACCGTGCTTCTCCCGCCGGCGCTCCTGCCCACGTTGAATCCTAGGAGAAGGGGAGTCACGGAGGAGTTAGGAGCAGAGAGAGGCGCACACTGGGCTGAACGCGCACAGGAAGACGGGCCAGCTGCCAGCGGCTGACCCATCTTCGTCCACTGTCACTTTACCATGGGTTTGACTTTAGCCCATGCTAAATGACTTTAGCCCTGCTAGCATACAGGTTCTTGACAGAGAGCTGGGTCAACCAGGTACAAGTCTGCAAATGCTTCGCCCAGTGAAATGAGCTCTGTTCCTTACGAGAGCTCTCACACCCCTGCTCATGTTTCCAAAGGAATTCAGTGAGACTGAGCAGAGTCAGACAGAAGGCAATACTTTCTACAGCACAGCTGGGAAATGTAACTGATAGGTTTCATCTGTCCTCAAAAAAATCATCGTAAACTTGTTAACTGTATATTACCCACAGATTCAGATTTAAGGCTGAAGGAACAGAAACGACTTCATGCCTCAAACATCCCAATGTGTACTGTGCCAGAAGGCGGCCAGGCACAGGAAAGGCAGATCCATGCCCACTGTGGCTGTGGTCCCCACGAGCTGTGTGGGTGTGTCACCCACTGTCCTCTCCGGAAGACAGATAGGACAGAGCCACTGCTGTGGCTAAGAGTGTGTGCGTACCTAGCAATTCTGTCTCTCCAGGGGTCTGTCAGGATACAACCCAGGCAGAGCCCTTTGGGCCATGTCATTTCCAGTGCAGTGCCCAGTGCAGAGTGAACACCAGCCAAGACCCCAATGGAAATCTTTCGTGAACAGAAGCCACTAGACCAATGACGGATTTTCACTCTGAAGCTGTTAAAATTTTCAAGTGGAGATTCACATTTCTCCAATTGTGTTTGAGGATAAGAATAATAATTATTTAACCCATAAAAGAACAATTTACATCTATGTTGCTTTTAAGTATATGTGTCTTAATCAATTGCTCAGTGTGAGTGAATTGTGTAAAATAAACTCTAATGAAGAAAAAAATTGTGTATCAATTAGTACCCCATACACACACACACACACACACACACACACACACACACACACACACACA